TACTGATTCCTAATGTTTAAAATATTCTAACCAGTCCGTGAACATGTAAATATTCTAAGCAATTCTAAGAATTACCATTACAGACTAAGTAACCATTGAGCAAGTTACTACTGCCTCCAACACTTTTAAAAGGTCAGAAATTAAGAGAGAATCATCATGTGTGAGATTTACTTTTTCTCATTACATAAAAACACCAAGCAACATCTGTAAATCTAAGCAATGTGTCACATTTGATACTGATTTAACATTATCTAATAATATGAAAATAACCTGAAGAAAAATTAACTACAATTATTCTGGCAAAATGTACAATATAATTTGCAGAAAATAAATCGTCCAAATAAGCATACAAAAATAAAAATGTCAAGTAACTCATAGGCCAAACCTGGCAAAGTTAATAGTGATAGGATTATACTTACATAGTTCTTCTAAATCCCAAAACATACCTAAACTCTCATTCACATGTCTGGTAGGTTGACATTTTGCATAAAGATGATGAAACAAGGAAGAATATGTCTTAAGAGATCCAGTCACAGATATAATATAAAATATAGTGGAGTACTGTGGCTACTCCTTTACGTTTTGACACTACATCATATCTGTGTATTTCCTATCTTAAATATCTGAAATGATAATTTCAGAGCTAGAACAAATTTTAGATATAAATATCAATTCCAAAGTCTTCAACACTACAAACACACTTACATAGAGCATTTAAGAAACTCTAGGTCCATTACATTACTACTCAAGTAACGTCCACGTTACTGTTGATGCAATGCAAAACCCTTATTTTTAATTAATAAAAACCATTTATTTTTTTAAAAAGATTTTATTTGTTTGAGATAGAGCAAGAGAGAGCAAGCATAAGGTTGGGGGGAGGGGGGACCAGAGGGAGAGAAGCTGACTCCCTGCTGAGCAGAGCCCGATGTGGGGCTCAGGCCCAGGAACCCAGAATCATGACCGGAGCTGAAGGCAGACGCTTATCCAACTGAGCCACCCAGGTGCCCCAAATGATACTTTAAAAAAAATAAGTTGAACATTAAAAAATCATGTATTCCTACTAATAAGTACACTTCTTAATTCGACCTAATCCTACTAATTAGCCTTTAACTTTGATAGAAGTGCCTCACATGAAATCTGGGTGATTATATTGTATAAAACAGAACTGACATTTTATGTACACGTATAAGCAGAATACCATCTTTTAAAATCCATTTCTTTAACTCAGAAAGACAAACAGTAATTCTAATTTAAGATTTTTATATACACACAATCAACAAAATCTAGTATCTATTGCAGAGGGAAGAACTGGTAAGAGTTGACAGTGATTCAAACCATAAAACAATATACTTGAAAAACAAATTTTTTAAAAATGTGTACTACAAATTCTGGCTAGATTACTTTAAATAATGCAGTATACTCCATCTAGAAAATATAGGCTTCTCTTTTTGAAAAGGAAAACTGTGCATCATAAAGAACATTCCACTGATTCCACCAGGTAAATAAAAAAATCATCAAATAGTAAGTTTCAACCAATAGGAACCCCTTGAAGATATTTATAAACTATACATGATTTTATAGAAAAAGGCAAGTAGTAATATTCCCAAAGTAACAGTGTTCTGGTTGTGTCTTTAATTATTCAGTCTTTTAAGATTCAAACTTCAACTATTAATACTCTTTTTCAGTAATCAAGAAAACAAAATTTCAAGATTTTTTTTTACACTTAGAAGACAGTGCTTTTGACAAAAAAGCTAATATAATAGATTTTAATCAGATACTATTAAAAAAATTTAAGAACGGATACTAAAAAAATTCTGAAATTCTTCACTATTTCAATAACCAGAGTGACGTTCTATAAATTACTTGTCCACATTCAACTGGGAAGCTTTGTGTGTTTCATTTTACACAACTGTGAAAAACAATTATGTAAAATGAGCACACTAAAATTATTTCCTATTTTTTGAAATTTAGTTCTGAAAGGTGCAAGAAAGGAAATAATGCTCTTGAAAGTACGACACTACTCTCGATTTATTTATTTAATCATCATTTGTTTAGGATGAAATAAACCCACATGGGTCTATTCAACTTAAGTGATGGACTTGCTACTTACTGTGAAGATAAATAAATTGGTTTTCTTCCCTTCCACCTCTCCCCTCCACCCCGCCCCAAATAAGTCCATGGCTACAAATATCTACTGATGAAGTAAGCACAGGAACATATTTACAACTGTTTAATTTAGGAGTCAGATATGTGGGTGTTCACTAACTTATTTTTGAAAATAGTAAGTCTGACTTTTCAAATCATTAGCCCTCTCTTATATTTCAGGAACATATTTTAACATATTACTAGATACTATAACACAATAACACACACAAAACATTTAAATACCACAGTACTCCCCAGAAAATTTCCTCTATTTTTGCAAAATAACGTATCCTTTTTAAGAGTCCCATTTAACACTACATTTTAAACCTTTTAAGAAAGGTTTAAACATTAACTTCATATTCACTTTTTTTAAATCACACACTTCAATCACACATGAATCTTTTTCTCATTCAGAATCTAAGTTGTAATTTATCAACCAAACCCCCAAATATTAATTAGTGACCATTAATCATTCACACTAATACTTTATTGTAGACTTTACATATACACACCAAGTTACTGAAAGTTCAAGTATGTTTTTGAATAAAATGTAAAGATGTAATTTCAATTAGTATTTGAGAACCAGATCCAACATTCCATTAATTCCTTGTTGATAATTTCTATTTTTTATATTAATGGCAATTCTGGTGAAAATAGGTTTTTTCCCTAACATTATTGATACTGTTGGGTTAAAAACAAATACTTAATTTCTTTCACTGAATGCTCAGTACTCATATTCAAAAGAAAAAGCCAAAGATTCAAGGAATAACAAATTGGATTTTATGAAATATGGGTGAACCAAAAGTTCTTTAAAAACTAGATCTGTCAAAAAACAAAAACAAAACAAAAAAAACTAGATCTGTCAAGAAAACCAATTTATTTATCTTCAAAACAAAAATGGGGAAATTTTGACCAAATAATAGGAAAATGGGTGTTCCTTTATGTACATTAATTACATACTAATAGCATATGAAATCTAAATCCTACAGACTTTAAACTCAGTATTTCAATTCATGACACAAAAAGAAAAATAATATGGTGATATAATTCTAAGATTGTTTCATATTACCTTTTTATGCAAAGAATTATGGTAGCATATGACAAATTCACACTTATTTAGAAAAGCTAATACTATTATTTATTTTTATATCTACTGCTTTTAAGCAAATGACACTCAAATATCTTCCCCAGTACGTATACTAATTCACAAGAAAAATATTGACTGAACCAGCCACAAAGTTGTTTATACTAAAAACTGAATAACTGGGAGTTCACAGATGCTCCACTTGACTGTCACTCAGAAGCTGACTGTTCCCAGGGTAAACTTGATAAGTACTGGAACAAAGATTTTCTTGATGCAGGGAAAAAGCTGTGTAGAACTCTGTTCTTGGAGCCAGAGTTGAGCCGGACACTAGAATGTTCAGGAGATTAGGACATCTCTTTGTGCACTGGCTTTCAAATGTTCTTGAATCAATGTTACAGAATTTCACAGCCTTGGTCAAAGACAGCTTGTATTAACATCAAAGGATCAAGTTTTTCCCACTCTTAATTCAGCTTTGAAGCAAAATACAGTGCTAGCAATTACCTAGGATTATATGAATAAAAATATAGATGGGAAAGGTGTATTTAGGTGTAACAGATATCATTTAAAAATCATAGTTAATGTTAAAACTCCCTACTCCCTACACTGCAATTAATTAATTAAAATAAATTCCACTCCCTGCCAACTCATATACGTGGAAAATGTGATGAGAACAGTCTTTTTTGACTATTATTTACAATCTCCAAATCATGTTTTCAAAGATTTGCCAAAAAACAAAAGCCTACGAAAACTGCAAATTTTAGAAAATAATACCATCCATACAGCTGTGTCTAAAAAATATGTGAAATAGTACACAAGAAAAATGTTACAAAAGAATGCATCTCAATTTTGCTTTACACCTGCTTTTATGCAAGATTTTAAATTAACGAATTTATTTCTTTACAAAGTATGCCTTCCAGCATAAACATATACCATGCAAAAATGAGTTAATTTTTACATAGTGTTCATTTCAAAACAGCAGAGTATTTTTCATTAAAATGCTAAAAGCATAATACAGTAAACACATTGAAATGTTATGTGAGAAATAACTGTTATGATCAATGGATGATGCATTAGATTTGTGGTTTAAGGTAAATATATAATTCCTTAAATGTAATTTTAAATTAAACATGGCTGACATACAAAATTTTAAATATAGCAAGGACTTTGTTTTAGAATAACAATTATAATGTAATAAAATCCGTTTCTTCCAAGTACCGAAAATCAAACTTCAAAATACCGATTTGACAGTAAAGGGATCTAATCTGATTCCAATGACCTTAGCCATTCTCAAATTAATCCCCCCCCCTTTTTTTTAAATAAAGATCACCACTTGAACTGTATTCCTTGGAAACAAACACAACTAGCCCTGTCAGACATGTTTACTGGAGAGACTTACCAAACTACAGGAAGATATTTACAACACTGCAAAGTTAATCCATCTTTAGTACTTCTATAAACAACATTCTCAAGAAATGCCTACTTTCTTCTAAATCACACCAAATCCTCACTTAACATCCAACCTAACAGTATTGTTTGATTTTAAAAGAAAACTTAAAGGGTTAGGATCTAGATACTGACACCAAATAATGGCAGATAAGATTAAAAATAAACATTATTTTATAAGCAAAAGAGATTTGCCTCCAAACAGTTTTTATTTTTCCAAGATTCAAAAGGTTTATTTGAAAAAGATCAGCACAGGACAAAGATATCCTTAATATTCCTTCTCAGAATATTTGAATATTCAAAATTTATATGAAATGTAGACAGCAACTCTGATTTCACAGAAAGAACATCAATGGTTTATACAAATGTAAACCCATTCCCACATCCCTCCCCAATGTACTATTCTATCCACCCCTTACTGACATTAGCTTTCACTAAGCTTCTATCTTCAGTGCTACTTGCAAAAACTAAAAAGCAGAAAATCATTTTCATCTTTAAATGGTTGGGATTAATTAAAGCAAACAAAGTATTACTGTTACACAAAGTTTAGTAAAACTATGAGAGAATACTACTAATAACATTTGTAAATTATCCAAAATGATTTCTTTATTGAGATTAAGTAACTACATAGACTTCACAGTTCTATGGCATACTTATATGTAGCTAAAGTCACAAACACATTTTAACATTCACAATGATGAGCATCACCATTACCATTCTAATCTACAAAGCTTATGTATGAATAAAGAAAAATACAAAAACCTCGTTTTACAAAAAAAAAAAAACTTTAAAGTCTACATACATTAACAATAAAACCATTTCTTCCAGGTAACAAGTAAAAGTGTAAAGGCATACCACTGAGGTTTTTTTCTCTAAGTAGCCAGGAATGAAAGAATGTTTAATATCTACGACGCTTATTAGGGCCTTCAAAGTTGCCCCCTTGGCTTCCTCTACCAAAACCACCAGGACCACCACTAACAGGACCTACACCACTCATTGGTGCTTGAGGGGTTTCAGAACCTGTTCTACTCCCCATAGGTGATCCCATCTGAGATGATGGTCCTTGAGGAAATCTATCATTGTGCTATAATACCACATAATAAATATGAAGTCCATTTGGAACACGCCAAATGTTAAGTGACAAGAAAAATTGGCAAAATCCCAAGTGGTGGTGTCATGAAGTTCAGCAGAAAGTCCAGCAGAATCAGGATCACACATAGAAGGAAGAAAGGAGCAATTTAATTAGTTACTACGTTTTAAAAAAAAAAGGGAAAAAAAAGCATCTGAAGAGTTACAATTGCTAATGCTATGCCCCAATTTCATGAAAAAAGAACTGATTTTAAGAAGTAAGCAAGTGCCATTTTAAACCTAGTCAGTATTACAAAACTGTTCTGATCTCTCTTTTTCTTAAAAGCTTATACTGCATATAACTCTGCTGTGTAATAAAAAATATTTTTTTGAAAATCAAAGAGAGAAAACTGGGGAGCAGCATCACATTGAAAAAATAAGCATTTAAAAAATTTCAACAGCAATGCTTTTAACAAAGAAAGTACTAGTACAAAGAGTTATAATTTCAGTATTAAAATTTTAGAGGTTTTTTTTTCAGAAAGACTATTAATGAGAAAATATAGCTTTTAAAAACTGACAATATACTAATATGTACTACTAACAGCACAATTAAATAAATATCTGAATCCTATGCTTTGGAAAACTTTACAATAACAACAACATATGTTAATCTCAAAGGTTGACCAGAACTCCCTACATGCAGTAGTAAAATGTCACTGTGAAAAAGACCAAAGGTAATATTTAAATAAAGGTTACAATTTCAGGGGGATGGGTGGGAAAATGGGACAGTTAATATTATTTTAAGTTATTACAGATGATTATAGGCTACAGAAAAAGTTAACCAAAGTAGTCAAAGTTTTTACTTAGCTTTCAGACATTTTACTATAAAATAAAGCCTCCAGAGAAGGAAACAAGTACACTAATTATATATCATGCGCCATCTGATCATAGCAGATACTACGGCACTGCCTTTTTATCTCTGTAAACACTCATTTAAAAAAAAAAACTGTTAGCATGTCCAATTTTTCCAAATTTTTAAAAGACTGCATTTAAAGTAAATAAATTTTAAAATGATGAAACACTGTATCCATCAATTCTAAGACACACATTCACTTTTAACATCTCCAAAATCAGTATGGATTTACAGTTGATGGCATGTCTGAATTTAATTGGCAGTGCTTTTCTTTCTTAGCAGCAATGGCGCCTTAACATTTGTGGTAGTTCCAAAACTAAACTGCCTTTTCCAAAATATACAGTCAACCAATTTTCCTTTTCTAAATGTTATTTAGAACAACCATTAACAAAAACCAAATGAAAAAATGTTCTGCCAAGAGCCTCATTTAAACAGTGATAGATTTTAAGGAAAATGAGAAGTTATCAGTCTTGCTACTGATATTCAAGTAAGAACTACTGAAAACTTTTGCTTTTATAATTATTTAACCCACACAAAGATATCTTCACACTGTCAAACCAAGACATAAACTGTATGCTTTAAAATTTTGTAACAAATATAATAATGAATAATTCTGTAAGACTGCAAAATGTAAATTTAAAATACACTTTAAAACTTTAATGTATATTATTTTACAGTTAGAATAAGTTCCCTGAAATTAATCGTAAATCTTTTTATTAAAAATGTTTACTGAAAATGTGTTTTCACACATACTGGAGTTTCATTCCCCACCAAAGGTAAGGAGTCCACAGAGGAAAAGAACACAATCTTAAAATACTTGACCTTTACAGTGGATACTGGTAAGAGGTGGATACATACTAAAAGCAATATAAAAATAATTAACATGTATCTGCCATATACTTGCGTACAAAAGCATGCCATGAATGGTAAATATAACTCTTGTGATACGTAATAACTGCCTCTCATAAGTCAACATATAACTTCACAAAATTACGTTTTCTTCACTGCATATTGACCTTTACCGCCAAAACAAATGATGCCAAATTATGTTAAGTGTGAAGTTACCTTTGGGGCAGAAAAGTATATATTACTGAATATAATCAAAATAATGTTTATGATACATTACCACTGCTCCATTATCTGGCATCATTGGAGTTCCCATATTTGCAGCTCCTTCTGGTCCCATGGCAGGACCAGGACCCATTGGTGGGCCAGGTATAGTTCCTCTGTTGTTCATATTCATACCCATCATTGGAGGAGGACCTTGGTTACCAGCAGGTGCTGGGCTAAATGCATCTACGCAAAACAATCTATACTTAGAGCTGTCCTATCTTAGTTTAGTAAACATTAAAAATTTAACAATACTTATGCAAACTATATAACAAGACTATTATCAAAACTACTTTCCATCTCTGAGAATGGGACACTTAATTATCTACTCTGTAATAGAGCATTACCTACACTATAAAATTTTCATCCCAAAATCAAATGTACATAAAACAAATAAGACAACTATCAACTATTTTAGGATATTTGAGACTGTCAAAGTTTTGAAAGTTTTTTAAAAAATGAGTATTACTTGCTATAGTCTGCTTTTTAACAAACTACTCTCTTAACAATGGTAACTATACTCTACCTCATAAATTAACGGCAAAGGATTAGCACTTGGCAAATACAAATAGGTATATAAAGTTCACTAAAACTAACCTCTTGACTTTAATGTAAGTTACTAAACATACCCCAAAATTGTAGGAGGTACTATTTTTTAACTTTAAAATTTACAGAAATAGGCAATCTAAACAAAGCAACTAAAAAGGGTTGTGAAGACAAAGCTTATTTTTTAAAGCAAATATAGATAAAATATTAATAGAGCTATATGAATTTTTTTGACACGCTAAAAATTCTGGAAATGCGGACAATCAGATATACTTCAAATTTTCTCATCAAAAAGATATCCACCCGGTCTCATGTTAATTGCAGTAGTGTTTGAGCTGAATTATATTTATAATGGCTTCAAATACAACATTTTTAGGTATCTTCTTTGAATTTTTTAATTTTTAGGGTACTCATACTTTTTTTCATTAAAAATTCGTAACAAAGACTAACTCCAACTTGAGTTTTCTTTAGTATTTCATTCTATAGGTCAATTTTATGACACTCAGAACTCAATTTCTCAAGAACACATCATAACAGGAGATGATATCTCCATTCAAACCCAGAATTCTACACAGTATCTAATGTAGCTGACCTCTACATAGGACTGAGCCCAGGGAGCAGCTGGGAGGAAAAAGTCTTACTCCCTACCAGTCCCTGGCAATATATATACTACCACTCGTTCTCAACCTAATCCCCAGGAACCTACCACTTCACGGGAAGAAATTACTTCCTTAATCCCAAAATGTTCTCGCTTACTGATAAATCGAATGTTGCAACTACCCAAGAATATTTCTATTCCCTTAGCATAGCTATAAATAAAAATTTTTACTAGAATTCCATGACATGTCCCACATGGAAATGAGGAAGAATGGAGACACTATCTATAAGGAATCTTAACTTTCCCTAAAAAGAACAGATCAAGGATTAGGTTTTTCTTCTCTTTTTAGTAAAACATAATTGTTACATTTAACTTGCAAGACTCAAATATAACTATACAACTATGGGTTGTATAAAATATATATATGTATATATAAAATAAATAAAAAACATTTCCAACTATCAGTAATTAGAGTATTATTTCTAGTAATTAAGCTTTCTGTCACACAGATATAATTAAACTAAATTTAAACATCTAAGAAATGTTAGAATTATCTGGTCCCCTGAAAAGCAGTTTTATAATCTATGTTTCGCTTGGTACATAGACTGGTGATAAACCAGAAAACCTACTGCCACATTCTAACGATGTAACTTGATGGGATATGGCAATTTACTGATTCAACAGTGGCATTCAACTTCATGATAATGATTCATAACTCCAGTAAACAATTAGGAAAAGTCTATCTTATCCAGATTGAATAAAATGTACACAGGAGAAAAGTAAATGGACTGGACTTAAGGGGAGTTGAGAAAGTGCTCAATTGTAATACAGTTCCCTGATGAAATAAAATGCCATAAAAATTTTTAGTTCTCTTAAATTCCTAACTAAATAAGGAATCTAAAGGTATACTCTCATTATTCTTCTGATAAAGTTGCTAACTAAAATAGAATGTTTTCAAGGTCTCGGCAACATCAGAAATACTTCATTTGCTTCTAACGTTAATGACAATCTAATAATTATAATGGCATTGCAAAGTACCTACAACCCATAACCTCACACTATAACCCTTAAAACCACTTGGATTATATTATACACCATTCTACAATTTACTTTGAAAAGACATAAAATTGAACTATCTGTACATTACTATATATTCAACTGTGTCTCTAGAACTTATATACTAGAACTGTGCCTATAGAACTTATGTATTTTGTTCACCAATTAATTCATGTATCCATTGTAACTAACTTCACAATTAAGATCTTTATAGGCAAGGGCCATGTATCATGCTTCCTTTGTATACCAGAGATGCTCAGTAACTTCTTACTGGTAAGAAAAATGACCAAATTAATAGCAATAAACAATTTTAGATGATCTGTTTGGAAGTAGCAAATAAACTGCATGAGAAATAGGGAAGAAGGTTGATCAGAGAAAATGTTCATTCCACATATTAGATGCTTTAAGATTTTTTTACTCTATACACTATATATCCTAAGTACTACATGCTAACGGTAATGTAATCTTTACAATATGTACATTTTGAGTTACATGAAAATTTTAATTTTGTGACAGCTTCTGTGGGACAGTATGAAATGAATATATTAAAAATTTATCTAATTTTTAAGTGTATGACATTTCAAATTTACTGTTTCCCTCAATAGTGGAGAAGCTAATGTAGGCACTTTCTTCAAAACTTTACATCAACTCTAAAAATGTGCATTAGCCCAGATGTAAAAGACACATCTCATTTCCTTGACATGTCATAGATGCCTCCAAACAGTGCACTTCTGTGCACAATATGGCAGGTTAGGGCAAAATAAGCTAAACATTCAGTAAAATGAATAAAAATAACTCCACTTACACAAAAGGTTACCTTACCAATAAAAATTTATAAAATACTCTCAAGAAGTTTAAAAACACTACACACTCAGAAACTATCAAACTTCTAAGAAAGGTAAAAAGAGCCAATTTGAAAGCATGAAATTTGATTTTTTAAAAATGCAACAATATAGTTGCATTACACCATGGAATGACTGAACAGGTTTCAGGTTGTATCAAAACCTGGTTACAGGTTTTCATTAAATCTATTAAAACATAATATACCTTTTAGCCTTCAATGAAACAAAATTCTTCCTTAGCATATTATTTTTAATATACTTGTATCTTTTTTCAACTTAATAAATATAAGAGATTTCACAATTACAAATGTTGGTTCCAAATTTTAGTTTGTTACTGATATGTAGATACCACAAACAGCATGTACAATTCCCCAAAGAATTACAAGTTACAGAAGGCTTATGCTTCAAATCCCTACCTCCCATGTTTATTGCTCCACGGGGACCCATATCACCCATTCTCATTTCCTGTTCTCTCTGTAAGTAAGCATAGTTGTCACAGTCAACCTATCGATCTTATGACTTTACATTTCCCATCTAAAATCAAAAAGAAAAGAATCAATTGGGACATCACTTTCCATTTAAAAAAATTAAAATTTTCCAACATCACTTACTCATTAAGAACACTGAAAAGAAACTTCAATCTCCCAGGTCTGATATACCACAGAGCTCAAGCACTCAGTTTATACTACTAGATTATCAATGTGTCAGATTACATAAAATCTACCACAGAATGTTTTTAATGTTCAATAGAGAAAAGAGATATGCCTAGATTCCAAAAAAAGAAAAATCTAGTATTAATAACCACCAGGGCCAATTATTTTTTCCTCCCAGGACACTAAAGTCTTAAAACAAAAAGACCATTACCCCTTTTATATTCAAATGTATTCAAACATCCAACACAAACAGCTGCGGGGCACTAAGCTAAAAATAAAGTTATACAGACAATTTTCATTGTTAATACATCTTTGCATTTTTATTCAAATACTTGAGCATTGTTTCACCCAAGACCTAAAGATTTGCCATGAAAAGTCTCCATGACACACAAACAGTTGTTAAAAGTTCAACATTAACACTGCTTCCTTTATTTGAACAAGGGTTTTGCTTGGAAATCTAAATAAAAGTGTTATTACACAGTCGGCAAGTTCTGAAACAAAATGCTCTTGAGGTTAACTGTGATACAAAAGGTCATGCAAATGACAAACTTTTAAATTTCAGTAAAATTCAACTACTTCGAAAAACTAATTTATTAACAGTAGTTATATAGAATTAATGTCGATGAAATCTCTGGGTGAAATTACTCAACATACTGTAATTCAAATTTGCACTACTATTTAATGACTTTTTCCATTATCAGACCAGTGTGTTAAATGTAGCAATCATAAAACACATTCTGAGACAAAAGTAGCAATGTCTAAAACTTTAAAAAAAAAAAAGCACAATTTTTCTTTTAAAAGCAATTCTATTAAAATGTGCTTAAAATTCCATTTAGTAATACAAAATACCAGGGAAAAGCACCTATAAAAGCTAGGGAAAAAAGGAAAGAAAAGCCTATGGTATATGATAGATAAATGCCACTAAGCAGCTAATCAACTGCCCATATCTAACCTAATGGACATGCCTCAAAATGTAACCTTTAATGAAGCTGTGGTAAAAAACAAAACAAAACACATCATTTACATAGCATCATGAAGAAATGTTTGTCACATTATGTAGAAAATGTAAATCCCAAAACTTTCTCAAAGCTATTTTTTTAAACTTTCCTAAAACTAAATTTGTCTCTTCTCATAAAACGTTTGGCTAGTGATGGATACTACTAACAAGCAAAACAGCTAGACTATATCATAGAATGGATTTCTGATGAAGTCATATGGAAAATACTACTTTATGATCACACTTAACACTATCATCAATAAATGAAATCCAAGTTGTCATTTCCTCATCACTAGAACCTGATAAAATGTAGACTGCCTTCAGCATATCCAAAATCATCCAGGTATTATTTATAGCAGATACTTGTTATTGAAAAGCTGGTTCCATTTCAGCACCACAGTAAAATACACGGGTTTTTTGATCATGACATCTTTGGGGAACAAGGGTTTAATTTTTATTTTTATTTTTGGATTTGCCTTAACTATGAAAGATGAAGAATGCAGTATCTAACCAACAGAGGGTAATTATGATAGTCTTATTGTTTGAGACTTCAATTTTCAAATCCCCCTTAAGTATTCTGACATCCTAACTGGATGCCTGTGATTCACTGGTGAGGGCAAAGAAGGAGACGTTTTTATTATCTCCTTATAATTTCATCTGCACCTATCATTTTCCAAAATAACAATATTAGCTTTATTATTCACAAAGTTCAGTACTTTTTAAATTATTCTATTATTCTATTTTCTTCAATAGAATTCTGAAGAGATTAATATGCTAAATACATTTATGGATTTTTTTAAAAAGCTTTTGTTTGTTAAATAATCTCTACACCCAGCATGGGGCTCTAACTTATGACCCCAAGATCAAGAGTCACATGGTCTACTGATTGAGCCAGCTAGGTGCCCCAAGACTTACGGTTTTTTAAGTCAATTTATTCAACAGTGGCCATAACATTCCCTTTCTGATGCTCTATTAGAAACTGGTTCCAGGGGCATGTGGCTAGCTCAGTCAGAAGAACATGCGACTCTTGGATCTCAGGGTTGTGGGTTCAAGTCCCACATTGGGTGTAGAAATCACTTAAAAAAAGAAACAACTTGTTTTCCAGTTTTAAAATATCTTCCTTTAAATGAGATAATCAGAATGTCTTACAATACAACATGCTAATGTAGCATATCACTATGCTAAAATACCTATATATATAAAAGCATTTTTCACTAAATACACATACACTCAATTTATTTAATACTGTTGATGCTTCCTTAAAGAAAATTACTAAGTACTATTTTATACAGCTTCACACATTAAGAAAAAGAGATAGCATAATTAGATGACAGATCATTTTTTTAACTATTTTGGAAGGAGCAAAAGAAGTTTTCAACTTCCTAGTCCTATCTTTTTTTAAAGATTTTATTTATTGGTCAGAAGGAGGGAGAGAGAGAGAGAGAGAGAGAGCAAAAGCAAGAGGAGCGGCAGGCAGAGCAGGCAAGAGAAGCAGGCTCCTGGCTGAGCAAGGAGTCCAATGCGGGACTCAATCCCAGGACCCAGGGATCATGACCAGAGCCGAAGGCAGATGCTCAACTGACTGAGCCACCCAGGCGTCCCTTCCTAGTCCTATCTTAAGATTACTGTCATTTTATCAAAATCCACTGCTACATACTTCTAGTAAAATGCAAGGGTCAGAGATTATACTTAAAGGTAGTGGTTAGCAATGAATATTAAGACAGTACTTCTCATGATTAACTTGATTTATCAAATATCAGTAAGGAGAAACTTGGAAGTTCACTATTAACTGTGTACCCACCCAAAAAGCAATACACAAGACCCTCACTTCTATGAATTCTAATATTTGAAATTAGAACTGGTGCATAATATACATGGTTTTGGAATACAAATTTTAATGCTTTATTGCTTTATACCAAAAATTAAGAGTTACGATTTAACATGAAACAACTTATAGGTAAACAAAATCTCAAAAGACTGTACTGTAATAAGATAATAAAGCTATGATTAAAACTTGGTTTAATTAATTCAATTACTCTTCATAGCAACCCTATAAAGTAGGTCTACTGTTATCCCATTTTAGAGATCATAAAACTGAGGCACAGCACTGTTAAATAACTTACTCAAGGTTGAACTGACCTAAAAAATTCTGCCAAGAGAGTTCATTAAGTTTTTACCTTCACAAAACACCTTCATTTTTTTTCAAGGATTCCAACAAAGCCTAACAAAAGGCAAGATTTTTAATTTATTATTATATTCATAAGTCGTGCTTTTCCATTAAAAGAATTATGCATATGTATTCCTGAGCTTGTCACTGAAGTATGCTTAAATTCACAGCTGACCAAAAAAGTAAGCAAAGTATGACTGATTTCCAGAACCACTTATCAAAGCAGCATTCCATTAAAACAATGTATCTCAGAGTGTGGCTGATGGGAGTACTGAGTCCGCAAGACCCTTTCAGGAAGTGTACAAATTCAAAACTGTTTCATGTCTTACTAAACATTAGAATACAATTATAAAACTATCATCTAACTGGGCTTTTCAGTCTATCAACATTTGTAGGGATGGTGTACAAGCAATTGGGAGGCAAAAATCTTGGTATTTTAGCACAAATCAAGGCACTTACACTCAATTTTTACTAGTAACTATCATTGTTACAAGGGAGCAGCAGGCAGGACAGCAGAGGAGAAGCTGTCTGCCCACACAACTAGTTTTAAAATTTCAACTAGAACATGTAGATGAATACGTAGAGGAAGCAGTTAAAATTATTTTTATTGAATGACTACATGTCTTTTTAATTATGCAACAAAACCGGAAATATACATAAAGCACTTCTGCTGCCTTCTGAAATAGGGTAGTCCTTCAAGAAAAACGTTCTTATGACTGGGCTGTAAACGGAACAAGACAGCATCTGACAACTATGATTACTGATTACTTGTGTACAGGTATCCCTTGTTTTTCAAAAATGTGCATTACACCACTTGGCTTTTATAAAAGACCTACATTTGTAGTACCTGTTTTTGCTAAACAAAGAAGGATTTTCGCTTTTATGGAAAAAGGCAAAAAGTGAATATAAAGTTCAGTGTGTTTTGCAGCAAGCAATTTTAGAGGCAGCACAAACCTAGAGCAACAAAAAGCACTACCACCAAGCTCCCATTCCTGGGAACTATTCTTAGCATCTCAGGATCAAGCTGCCATAGCTTTGAACTATGTGTGAACATTTGTGCTTTATCTAGATTTATTCTGTGCATCAGTTAGCAAGATGTGTACTAAAGTATCAGAGAAGCCTATGAGGTTATAATCTGGGTTCAGAAACTTTCCAAACATTTTTCATATAAATATTAATGGTAACTGCTTCTTCATTTTATGCCATTTTGGCTCACAAAAGGTATCACAGGAATGTTATACTTTGGGATAGCATTTGGCAGACATTTTCTGACAAGATCAGTGGTTGATATTAAGAAATGTGATTTGTTTTTAATTTTGTGTAATAAAATAGATTAAAACTTAGAAGATGTGCATAACTCAATGGGATCAGTATTTTTCTAATGTTTGGCACATGACATTACAAAATCATGCATGGGTAAAAAAATAATCCATTCAAAGTTCCAGGTAGCCTAACGGATTATAATGCAATGAAAACTACTACTTGTCAAGTTTTCTGTAGTATTTAAAAAAAATCACAATTATCTGAAAAGGTTAAAAATACTCATCTCCATTTTACTAATTACTTATCTAAGTAAAGCCAGATTTTCTTCATGCACTTTAACCAAAAGAGCATTCTGCAACAGATGGAATGCAAAAGCAAATATGGGAAGCCAGCC